GTGGATTACCAAGGGCAATTGGCAAAACTTACTCAAACAGGTTTTGTAGTCGCTTATCAAATAGAATTTGAGGAACTCTCTAATCAAGTTTCTGGCCTTCCAGGTACATTCCTTCTAAGTTGCTTTATATCAGGGCCAAACCAGAAATCCGAAGGGAGGCGCAATCCTTTCAGCCTCACACCCTCAACCATGCCATGAGTCTTGCCCGCTTGCAGGAGGACAAGCTACAGAATCTACACTTATACTTGCAATATGTCGGCCCCCTATCTTGCGATCCTAGCAAATCAACTCCTAATGTTCCTTCAGCATAATAGGCCCTTTTGCAGACTCCAAAACAATAGGGTTCCTTGCCTGTTAAGCGACTCACGACGACATAGATGCAAGAACGGCGCAACAAAGGTTTGTGCTAGAATTGCGATGAGCGCTTTCAACCTGAGCATCGCTGCAGGGCCAAGTTCTTTCTCTTGCTGATGGAGGAGGATGATGATGAGCACGATGATGAACCAGGATAACTGTTGTTGATGATGTCGTACCTTGCAACCTTGAGGACAAGGTTGAGCCGAAAGGGGAAGGCAATGTTAGGATAATTATGTTAAATCTTTTATAATTGTATTAAGTCTTTATAATTATGCTATTATCTTATTATGATAGAATTATCTTATTATCCTTTTATAATTATGATAGAATATTTTATTGGATTTAAATTAGGCAATTAGAGTCCTCTTTGGAGTCATTTGGAATCAAGTGTAAGGCTATATAATAGCCTAAATCTAAATTGTGGTTATCAATGAAGAATTTTGTCAATTAATCTCTCTATCTCTTGTTCTTGGAGGTCTCTGTTCCTCATATAAATAGATCATATCCCAAAAAAAAATCCTAACAAATTATCACATAATAACAATCACATGGAAAATCACCACTGAATAACCTAATAGTAAAAAAGTAAAATAAGGTTTCATAAGCTCTTGAATTCGAGTTTTCACATGCCCTAATAGGGGTAGCCACTAAGAGGCTTATCTGGTAGTCAACTCCAGGGCCTCAAGGGTGGATTGAGAGTCTTGAACACTCCTGGTCAAAAAAAAAAAAAAAACCAATCACATGAACCAATAAGTCTAACAGGAAAAGAAATGGTTATACTCTAGCAATTAAAATACCAAGGATTTGCTATCATTTGAGAGTGAAAACTAAAAACTGAGATAGAACATATAATAACTTTTATTATTTATTTCATTATATTAATATTTACTTTTATTAAATTGAAGAAAGAAAGTTGAGAGTGGAGAAGTTTGAGTAAATGTTTACAATTATTTTATTTAGTATTCATTACAATTATGTTTTTTTAGCAGTGGTTACTAATAAAACATATGAGGTTTAAAAATTACCTCTTATACATAATTTCAGTGGTGCTACATGTATAAATAATGTATATACATAATTTCAGTGGTGCTACATGTATAAATAATGTATATAAACTGATGTGACACAACTTTTTTTATTATCAGATTAGAATTGATTTTGTATACAAATTTATCTTATCATTTTATAACACATCAGCTTTGTAGAATAGTTTTTATAAGAAATTTGTACATTTAGTATCATTTACATTAACAAGGCCAATTATATATGAGTTAATAAACAATCAATAATTAAGCCCAAAAACAAGCAAAATTAAATTTGAGATTAGGGAAATTTGCTTAAAATAAAACCTTTTTAAAAATGGTGCATTAACTAATGACCACATTCAAATGCGACTCTCAAAAATAAGGCCCTTCTCTTATTTTCTTCCTTTTATACCTCTGTCTTCCTCATGAAAGTACCTAATTGTCATAACAATGAATGGTGGCTATAGGCTTAGAAAATACCTGTTGTTTTTTATTGGGGTTACTTAAAGTTGTTATTTTGTATTGATTTGTTATATATGATCGTGTTTATGTGTTTAGGATAGATTTTATAGTCTTTTGATATGAATAAAAGTATTAAAAAAAATAGATTTAGAATGTTAATATTTTTAAAATAATACACAAAAAGTATAGGGGCTTATGCCATACTTTACATTCTTTAAGAAATTTATCACTAGAGTCAACGAAGAAAAGACATTCATCCAAGCATCCACCACAGATTTATTTAAATTTCATAATTGCACACGGTTATATATGCACACAAATCCACAATATGCCAAAGCCAAAAACCCATACTCCTTGAAGCCACGTACAATGCTTAGGAAAATTATACGTTTAAAAATTAAAAGTCATATATTTTTTTTTTTTTTTAATTTCAAAGTTCTTAGAAGTAAATAAAATATCAATCAACTTAAAGGGAAAATCACAAGTTCCTTGACAGGGCTATGATACCATATATAAAATATTTCATGGTAATTAAGTAAGACAATAATCATATAATTTATAATTTCAAGAACTTATAACATACTAATTAACATACTTCTCTCCCTGGTAAAGACTTGAATTTGACCAAGTACACTAAAATCATCAATGATGATGAAAACCGTGTTTCTCTCTCTTAACCCCTCACAATTTGTAGAGTATAATATATATACAAACTATTTCCTACTAACTGATGTGGCAACCTGACATGTTTGTCTTGTAATTCTTTTAATTATTTAATTTAAAATCATTCAATCATCTTAAATTATATCAGTTTATATGAGAAAATTTGTATATGAAGTATTATCCTAAGATAAAACCTTTTTAAAAATGGTGCATTAACTAATGGAAAAACTCTACATTTACAACTCAATCTCATAACCTTCTCTTACAACCATAAACTGTCAACAGATTAACACTGTCACGTCAGCTCTCACTACACCTAAAACAGCAAAAAAAACTACAAGAAACCAACGATCGTTCTTTCAGAAGGAACGATCATTATTTATGAAGGAACGGTTGTTCCTTAAAGAAACCAAAGAAACATCCATTCTTTACATAAGAAATGGTTGTTCCCTCTATTAGGAATGATTGTTCCTTATTTATGAATGGTCATTTCTTTGGTTGTTCCTTCATAATGAATGATCATTAGGAATGATTGTTTCTTTGGTCTAGTCAAAATCATTTTGACGTGATAGCATCAACTCAGCTGCCACGTCGGGAATTGTAAAGAAAGTTTGTAAGAAAATGTTGTTGGCGTAGTATTACTCTTATATAATGACCACATTCAAATGCAACTCTCAAATAAGACCCTTGTCCTATTTTTTTTCCTTTTATATCCCTCTCTTCTTCATGAAAGTACCTAATTGTCATAAAAATATAAAATGAATGGTAGCTATGGGCTCAGAAAATACCTAATGTTTTTTTATTGGGGTTACTTGAAGTTGTTATTTTGTATTGATTTGTTATATATAATGGTGTTTATGTGTTTAGGATAATTTTTATAGTCTTTTAATACGAATAAAAGTATTCAAAAAAAAAAAGATTTAGAATGTTAATATCCCAAATTCACAAAAAGTATAAGGGCTTTTGCAACATTTTACATTGTACTAACAGTCTTAACATTGGAAAATAATACAGTCACCGACGGTAGTGCACCGAATTTGTACATCGAATGACGTGATAAAATCCTGATCGTTGATTAATTTTAACTTAATATTAATTAACGATCAAAATTTTGTCACGTCATTCAGTGCACAAATTTAGTGTACTACCATCGGTGGCTGTAGCATTACTCCTTAACATTTTCCCATCACCCCAGCGCAGAGATGCCATCGATTTATTGTGGATCTGTAAAATATCAAAAGGTTCCCTTACAAAGTATTAAACAGTCCTTTACAATTTCTAAATTTATCGTGCGCCCCCTAAGTGACTCCACTCGTGCCCGCACTATTCAATTTTTTTTCCTGAAATCAGTTTCCATAACTACTTCCAATTTCTTTTAATTCAACCACATTTTTAATTGCAAAAAACCAAACCATTAAACTAAAAACAGAAAAATAAACATTATAGTTAATGTGGGACAAGAAAAATATCTCACTTCTATGTAAACTAAAATCTGACACATTCCCATACTATAGACTATAGTATATTCAAATTCTTGCCTACTAGAACACAAAATTGCTGTGGAAAGAGAACCACTTTCCATTTCCAATTGCTTTCCCGTTCTTTACCTAATCAATTTGAGTCATAAAAACCAAAAAGGATATTGTTGCCATTGCTCCTTTGCAATATTATACAAAGATATCAGTATTTTATCCTTTCTGTTATCAGTATACAAAAGGTTTATGTCAAATCACATTAAATTATTGTATTTTTTTGTGTAATTGGTGATTTGCTTCACATATTATTAATTTTGATAAATAATTATTGTATTTTTTGTGTAATTGGTGATTTGCTTCATATATTATCAATTTTGATAAATAATTATTGTATTTTTTGTGTAATTGGTGATTTGCTTCATATATTATCAATTTTGATAAATAATTATTGTATTTTTTGTGTTATTGGTGATTTACTTCACATATTATTAATTTTGATAAATTATATGTTTACGTAAGTCTCAATCTTTGTTCATTGTTAAGTACTGAAACATCTATAGGATTTTCTTTGATGGATCATAAAATAGTTAAAATTGTGATAATAATATCATATTTTAACTAACATATATTTTTATAACTTACAAATTAACAATAAATTGAGATGTAATAATTAATTAATATAATAATATCATTAAAAAATAATAATTAAATTAAAATCGAGAAATTTGAAGTATTTTAATGTATACATGGTCCAATGGTGGAGCCAGTCAACCAGCATACAGCTCTGCAATGATACAGAATAACCAAAAATCTTCGATAACTTTAGGTATGTCATGAGCAACCGGAGATTACCACATGCATGCACAAGTGTTTATTTGGAAAAATATTTCTCAACTATCTTATTGAAAAATTAAAGCCGATCAGTCATAATATAATATAAGATAATTCTAATAACAAATACCAAAATAATTAGTAAAATAAATGTTCATATTACTCAAGGAGGTATAATAAAATAAACCTAGTATTGATGGGAGGATTGAGGCAGTCCAATTTGAAGGTCGAGAGAATCGCCATCTCTTGCATTTGAAGATGTGGAAGCAGCGGCTTCAGCTTGCAATGACGTTGCCATTGGTGAAGCTCTACAAGCATTAAAATTGTGAAAGGCGTTACACCTCAACACATATAGCTGATAGTACGTCATTGCTTCAATATTGTATGAAAGACATGGCACATTACTTGGTCCCTATTAATAAAACCATATGCTTCCAAGAATTAGATATATTGAATTCAAAAGAATCCTGTTAAATTAATTAGTTATAGTATTTAATGAAGCTATTAAAATCTTTAACTGCCAAAACTCAAACTAGTTCTTACCATGTAAGGAATCCTACCGTAATGTGGAATGTTCATGAGAGGTTCCAAGCGATGATTTGGGAATTCATTTACAATCAGATTATTTGAGGTACTCCCCTTCAAGATTAAATCATGAAATCAACATTATTGAAAAGAAAAAAAAAATGCTCTTGTTTTAATATTATGTGGAAGATAACTTACAGCAGATCCATGGAATGGTAAGTCAAATATGCTGGACCTACGATTCTTCTTATCAGTTAAAGCTTGTCTGCGAAAATACTTTTGAGCATGACTAGCGATTTGCGTTGGGGTTCTGGTGTGGACATATTCCATTGAAATCTTTTTCCAATTTCCTCTCCCAACCTTTTTCAACGCCGTCAAAAAGCGTTGGTGTTCTTCCTCCGTCCATGGCTCTCCTAAATATACATGTTAGAAACAAAAAATAAATTCACTAATATCATCTTAAATCGAAAACAATAAATATAAAAACTTCAACCTCTAAAAATACCCCTTTTCCTTTCACGTGGAGGTTGATCAGCTTCATCTCTCTCAGGATGAACTTGAATATTGGCACCAAGGAGTTTAACACAAACCTTTACATTACAAGTTCTTGAGTTGTGGCCATCGTGCCCACAACAAGAACAAGTTCTTGTTGTTTCCTTCACCATGTTTCGTGTTTTCGCGCAAAGAGATAGATTGGAAGAGAAATTAAACAGGATATTAAAAAGTTTTAAGGCAACTGAATTGTCTCCCTAATTGGTATTTTGTCTCCTTTACATATTTATTTTCCTTTTCTGTATGCAATATTATATATTCTGTTCTCGAAAATCTTTTGTTCATATGGAATTTAACAATATTATTCTCTCTGCATTTATTATTATATATATTCACCTAGCTTAAGATAAATATTCTTTAAGTTAAAATTAGGATATATGCACTATAATTGGAAAATAAAAATATGTAAATGAATTAAAAATTGGATAAATAAATCCAAGCTCAATTGTTCAAGTTAAATAAATCAAATAAAGTTAAAATTATTAGAAACAAAAAATTATGTTAAAAATTTTTAATTATAATTTATATAACTTTATTAAAAACTTTAAAATAATTAAATTAATTTTTTTTTTTAGTTATCTCTTCTTATTTTAAGTAATTTCATATCTATATTCATGTTTGTTAGACATATTTAACATTAAGGGGCGTTTGGTTGGCGGTAATGTGAGATTATTGAGATAATGTCATCTTATATTACTTGATTATCACGTTTAGTTGTCAAGTAATATAAGATTCCGATAATCTTCAAATACCAATAGTAGTTACTATTGATAATATTGAAGGTAATCTGATTACCTCAATTTTCTTAGGTATTCTAATATTACCAAGGTTATCTTTTTTTATTACAATTTTATCCCTTATTAATAAAAGTTTTGGACAATAATGCCCTCATTTAAAAATAAATTTACATTAATATCCTGTTTCAATTTTACCTTTATTTAACTAAAATTTTGGACAATAATATCCTTATATTTAAAACAATTTACAGATCACCACTGCCACTCAGCCACCACTGCCACCCAGCGACCACCACTGACAGCTGCCAACCACCACAGACCGCCATCAAAAAGTCGCCGGAGTCCCTAAAATAGAACAAGATTCTGTGGGAGGCTCTGGGAGGCTTTGATATGGTCGTTTTCGGCCATATAACATATTGATGGCCGAAAAAGGCCATATCGGGCCAGATCGATGGAACTGGCTGTTAACGGCCAGATCTATTCTGGTCGGAATAGATCTGGCAGGTCTGTGGTCATTAACGGCTAGATCTCGCCCAGATCTGGCTGCTAATGGCCAGGGATCTGGCCGTTAACTGCCATATCTGGCTTGATATGGCCGTTTTCGGCCATCAATGTGGCCAGAAAAGGCCATATCGGAGCCTCTTGGTCACGGGGACTTTCAGAGCTTCCGGTGGTGGTTTGCGGTGGCGGCAGGAGGTGGGGGTGATTCGTAATAAATTAAAGTTTTATATAAACGGGGTGTTTTAACTAAATCTGAAATATTGGGGATTAAAAGAAATTATTCAAAAATTAATAATAAAAAAATATTATATTAATATTTGAAAAATAGACAATTTAGTAATTTAAATAACATATCCACCAATTTATTCCCCATAACCAAACATATTAATATAACATACCCACCAACTAATCAAACATATTTTCCTTAAGATTTCCAGTAATCTTCCAAAGTAATCTATCTTTCTAGTAATCCAATATTCCCAGTAATCTAACATTCCTGAACCAAACGCTCCTTAAAAACATAACTATAAACATTTTTGTAGTAAATTAAAAAAAAAAATTGTGATGATAACAATTTAAAAATTAAAATAGTCAATAATAACAAAAGGTATAAAGCTACAGAACCTAGAAGTCGAAATAGAAATAAGATTTAAAAGAAGTTGCTGCGTCCCCGAGCAGTAAAAGGATTTCATATTGACTTAATATATCTCAATTAAACTTGATTACGACATTAATAGATAATTCTAGAATGAACTTAATTTGATAAATCCGTAAAATATTTAATATTCATAATAGTTACAGAAAAAGAAAAGTACTCAAGGCAACCAATTGACTTCACATTATTTATAAGACTGTATAGATGCGATATGGTAAATTATGTAAAGAAATTTTAAATAGATAATCAATATTTGATTTTCTTATACTATAGATCGACTCCACTTTCCTCACGAACAAACACAAATAAACACTTTGTAATAATCCATATTTCTATGGAATTTTATTAAATTTTATTTTGTGTTTTTAAGGGTAAAGTGCAATAATTTTAGAGTTTTAACGGAGAAATAATAGACGAATAAGAGAGAACCAGAATAAAATTTACCGCATAAACCGTATTAGGTTTTTGTTTAAGAAGTTGATGGGCTCATTTAAATTGGTGGGTTTAATTATTTAAGTGGGTTAGCCCATAGATAAAGAGGCCCAATTATTTGGTTTGGGTAATTAAATTATTGAAGGATTAATGGGCTGACTGGTGTAATGGGTTTAATAGTATTGATGAGTTTAAATTAGTGAAGTGGGTCGGTCTATTGTTCACGAGGCCCACATTGTGTCAGTTGAATTAGTGGGTTAATTGTGTTGGTGGCATTGTTGTCAAATCTTGTATCGCATCATGTATCAAAAACTTAATTTTTTGAATTGTGTATTACGTATTGTTAGGATATGCCTTTTGAAAAAATAATAATAAAATAATAAGAATTTTCTAAAAAATTAATATCATCCCTAAGATTAATTAACGAATTTTGTGGTATTATTGATTTTAAATTATGGTATTACATAATCGAAAGTAAAAATTTATATCATTTCCTTTCAACCATTCATGTCTCCACTTATGTTATTATTATCATGCAAAATGGGTAATACATCTTCCTCTTCACTTTCTCCATGCAAATGGGTAAATTTAGGTAGGTTTTGGTGAACCGGGTTGGGTGACCCGGATTTGACCTAAAAAAATTTTTGGGCCTTCGACCCAAATTATTAAAGTAGTATCGATTTGTATCAATATTTTTAAGGATACAAACAGATACGTATCGTAGGATACATATCAACGTATCAAAAGATTTATGATACAATCTTTGATACATATCGTTGACGATTCATATCGAATTATATTATAAAATATGTATCACATATCGTAGGATACTAATAACCATGGTTGGTGGATTACTTAGTTTATGGGCTAGTTTAAATTAAACATGGCCTAGATTTAATCTAGATGTGATGTATCATACCTTAAATTTCAAAGTTTCATTTAACTTTTGGTCAACTTGACAAACCAATCTTAAATCTTAATCTAGTCTATGAGACTATGAGTATCCCATCTGTCCAGTTGAAAAACTCCAATGAATAAACTCTTCTCCTGTTTCAAAGTCCACCTTCATATAATTTGGGTTACTGGCAATAAACCCTCTTAAATATAGTTGAAAAGCAAAAATCCCTCTTACTATATAGTAATAACATATATACCATATCATTAAATTTTTGATATTAAAATAAATGTTAAAAAGGTAATTAGGTAAATATTTAGCAATTTATCATATTATCAATTCTAATAATATACTAACATCAGAATTTCTAAAATCTTAAAAGCATCAAGGTCGAAAATCCTAATTTTTCTATTTAAAAAAAAAAAATTGCCAAAACCAAGTCAATTTAAGGCCTGTTGCTTTCAGTTAATTCAAACATTATCTCACTTTGAAATGTCTGGCTGTGGATTACATTATTGTTATCCATTGGATTTGATATACTACCAAAAAAATCAGTAATCAAAATTTGATTAAAAAAATAGGGGAAACGACTTACACCTACCCAAGGTTTGGAGAAACGACATCTTGGTACCTAAAAGGTTTCAAAAAGACAAACATGTACCTTTCATTAGAGAAAAGACTAGAATGTCCTTTGAGAAATATTAGTCTATTTTTTTAATTACTTTTAGTCCCCTTAAGTTTATTAATTCCATCAAATACCTCTAGAAAAAAGTTTAAAAATTAACAAAAACACCCCCACTCACCCATACTTGCCAGATTCCGACGGCCATCACCGGAAATGGCCGGTAGTTCACCGATCTGGCCTTTTTCGGCCAGATCTACCACGGATCTGGCTGAAAAAAGCCAAATCGATGAACTACCGGCCATTTATGGTGGTGGCGTAGACCGTTATGACAGATTCCGACTACCACTGGCGGTGGCTGTCAGAATCTGGCAAGTATGGGTGGGTGAGGGTGTTTTTATTAATTTTTAAACTTTTTTCTGGGGGTATTTGATATAATTAACAAACTTAAGAGGTCTAAAAGTAATTAAAAAAATAGACTAATATTTCTCAAATGGTGTTCTTATCTTTTCCCTACTGAAAGGTACCTGTTTGTCTTTTTGAAATTTTTTGAATACCAATCATCGTTTCTCTAAACCTTGGGGTTCTGCCTTATAAAATCAGGGTTAGAATTGGGCGAACGACTTATTGATACCCAAGGTTTATCGAAACGACAAGTTGGTACCTAAAAGGTTTTGAAACGACAAACAGGTACCTTCCGTCATGTTCTGTTAGTGATTTTCATTTGATAATAGTGAAAAGACTAAAATGCCCTTAAAAGTTTAATATTTTAGTTTTTTATAAATTTAAAAATATCTAAAAAACCCCCATAAATTTAAAAATCTAAAAACCCTCAAGTTTGCTATTTGACTAAATCCCCAATATATAAAAAGTTTATAAAATAACAAATACATCCCCGCCACCCACAGTGCCAGATTCCGGCCACCGCCGCCGGAACCTGGCCGGAAAATTGCGTTACGACACAGACCCATCGGATCTGTGTCGTAACGCGAGATCTTTCATTTTCCGGCAAGATCCGTTGCTATCGGCCGAAAAGGCCAGATCTACGGCCGTCGAGACCGGGAACTTGCCAAAAAATTGTGTTACGACACAGACCCATCGGATCTGTGTCGTACACCTCGATCTGGCATTTTCCGGCCAGATCTGGAGGATCTGGCCGGAAAGGCCAGATCTGGCGTCGAGGCCAAAAAAGGCCAGACGTAGATCTGGCCTTTTCCGGCCAGATCCGTGGCGGATCTGGCCGGAAAAGGCCAGATCGGTGTGTTACGACACACATCCGACGGTTTCTGTGTCGTAACACAATATTCCGGCCAATTCCGGCGGTGTGGGCCGAATCTGGCACTGTGGGTTGCGGGGGTGTTTTTGTTATTTTATAAATTTTTATATATTGGGTCATTTAGTCAAATTAGCAAACTAGGGGGTTTTTAGAAATTTTTAATTTATAAAAACTAAAAATTAAACTTTCAAGGGCATTTAGTCTTTTCACTATTATCAACGAAATCACTAACAGAACATGACGGAAGGTACCCTTTGTCGTTTCAAAACCTTTTGGGTACCAACTTGTCGTTTCGGTAAATATTAGATATGTATAAGTCGTTCTCCGTTAGAATTGTCATTCGCTGACCTTGGTGGGAACATATGTCGTTTGCCCTAAACATATTTTGAATGACCAAACAATGAAGTGAACAACCGAGCCGTTATATCAGTTAGAAAGGCCAGAACAAAATGAAAGCAGATGGCTGTGCGCGTGTCTCCCGAATTCTTCTACTGGGCCCTTCTAATTGGACTTTCTCCCCCAACAATTTTAAAACTCCTCAAACGACTTTCTCATTCTCTCTCTACTCAAGTACAACGACTCCTTAAACTAAATCACTAACAAAAAGAAAAAGAAGAAAAAGGAAAAGACTTACTGCCTGGCCTTTATCGATTCGATTGCTCTTCAGCTTTCTCATTGGCTCATACAAAACAAGGTTAGAAAATTTTAGGTGTTCGTAATCTGATTTCGTTTTTGATTTTGATTCTCCGGATTGTGAACCTGAGTTCTTTATTTTATTTTTATAATTTAGACGCGGTTTTATTTATATTCGTGTTGATTTAACATTTACTATACTTTCTGTGTATATCATGTTTGATGAGATGCGTAAATTTGATTTCAAGGTTTTTTAAAGTTATAATGGTTTTTTTTCCGAGTTTGATTGATGAAGAAAAAATAGAGAAAAGATATATGATGGCTTTTTTTTTGGAAGAAATATTTGCTGAATTATTATCATTATGTTTGATTAGTGATTGATATCTTTGATTCAATAATCAATTAATGGAAAAGGGATCATGCTTTTTAGGAAAAAAAAAAAAAAAGAGATTGGCATCCTTGATGTTGATTCCACTGAGTTCCAATTTTACTTTTATTCTGTGCTGCCAACTGTAGTTGACGTTTTCTAACAAGTTTATAATTATTTAAGTTGATGATAATAATTTTATTGGGAATAGAAAAATGTTGTGGCTTTCTAAATTCTTTTTCTGAGTTTTCTTAGACATGAAATGAGCTTTTTTTTTTTTTGTCTCTTTTCTTAGCTGGCCCTATTGAATTTGTGGAGATTAGTAGATTTCTGTTTGCAGTTAATCTTTGTACCAGGTTTTCTTGCTAGTATTTTTGAACTTCGCTTCTGGCCTTTGTTGTTGGATCAATGCCTTCCGCTGACTCTCCACAGTGGCAAGAGAAGGCTGGTGATTTCTTTTCTTCATCAGGTATTAAGATTAATTCTATAATTCATCATGTACTTGCTTTTTGTATTTATTTTTTGTTACAGGATGTTTGATTGAGGTTTTAATGCAGGGGTGAAGCTTAAACAGGCTGGGCAATCAGCAGGAACATTAGTTGGGGAAGTTGCAAAGGATGCCAAAGGTAATGTTGCTGATGTGGCAGAACGAGTTGGTTCAATGTTCAAAAGCCGATGGTCACTTCTTCAGCAGCCATCAACCAGACATGCTGTTCAGGAACGTCTTATAACTGCTGCTGCTACAACTGGTACACTTTTGAGGAGAAGTTTCTCGGAAACAAAAGACAAGGTTGCTGTTGGGAAGACAAAAGTTGAAGAGGTACTGATGTTGGAAACTTACTTTTGGACTTTGTAAAGTATTTTGAAAATAAATTTCATTATATGTATCTTAAAACTTTCAGGTATCGAATATCACATTTTTTCTCTTTAAATTCATTATATTGATACTTGTGTATTCATGAGATGATGTAATAATATACGAGTAAAGGAAATGATTCTTGATAATATGCCCAATTGGACAACAATGATTATCTTTGTTCACAACAGCCTGAAATAAGTTTGTTTACAAGTTAATACGATGACTGATAAATATGAGATGGTAAATCTATTTCAGGCCGCAAAAAAAACTGCACAGAAAAGCAAGACTATTTTGACTGATATTGAACGTTGGCAGAAGGTATAGGATTCTGAGGCTCTAATTCTTTGTTTAATTTATGTAAATTTTCATGAAATTTCACTTATTTTTATCTTGTTTATCATTTGCAGGGAGTTGCAAGCACTGATGGTAAGTTTTTTTAATCTTTGTTTGCTCATTGAATTGTGACTTGTATTTGGGGATTGTCTTTTTTTTACCACATTAATTTGGTGAATTTTGTTTGTGAGACTAAGATGCTATTTCTTGGAACTTAGTGTTTGTGTATAATCTTAAACAATGTTATAGAAGTGATGTTAGCATGTACTTTAATCTTTTGGGAAGGCTTGCCACTCATAAGAAGTACTCAAATTAATTTAGGTGCATTTAATCTTTATTTGCAAGGATTATGGCTGGTAGAGAAAATCTTTGAGTTTATATTACTGAGAGATACCAACTGAACGAATATCGAATTACATTATCTTGTGTAAACCAACCGTCACTGGTTCAGACTGGTGTTTGTTCTGGTCAGGCATAGGAGCCAGAGGGTTAAGCAATGATGTGCTGTTAGTTCTTTGACTTGCAGCTAGTTCTCATAATTTTCTTCAAGATTTAGTTTTATAGTTTATGATATATATAGATTCTCCAATTATGCATTACATCTCCTAATTTTCTTTGATATTTAGTGCTTAGTCTTTCTTAAGTTCAACCGAGCCTTTTGATTTTCACTCATTTTATTTTGTCTTATGCATGGGCTTAGCTGCCATAAGACGATTATATAATGCCTGCTATGCTTTTACATTGGTTTATTTATGTCTCAATAGTTGCTTATCTTTTTTGAATTCGTAGTATTTGGAGTCCCCGTTGAGCTTATTGTACAGCGTCAAAAATATATCAAGCCCATTCCATACATTTTGGTCAGATGCGCAGATTACCTGATATTATCAGGTAATTTATATGAGCATTAAATGTCATAAATTGGTAACTTGAATATGAATTATAATTTATGTTAGTGTGGAGAGTAACAATTGATTACATATGATTTTTAGGACTAAACTCACAGTACTTGTTTAAAGCTGAGGGGGATAAAAAGGTCATTCAGCAGCTGGTTTCTAGCTACAATCAAGGTAACTTGAACAATTTGTTCGCAAAGTTGACTGTAATTTATTTGTATGACATCATCTCTTGATGTGTCATTTATATATATTACAGAGTACAATGCTTCACTGCCGGAGGGTGTAAATCCAATTGATGTGGCCGCTCTAGTAAAATACTACCTTGCAAGTCTACCTGAGCCACTGACAACTTTTGAACTTTATAACGATATAAAGGATGCTCGTTCTAGCATATATACAATGAGAAACATCCTGAAGAAGCTTCCCAGTGTAAACTACATGACACTAGAGTATATTACTGCACTACTGCTCCGTGTTAGTCAGAAGTCTCTTGTTAACAAGGTAGAGAACATCTCTCTCTCTCTCTCTCTCTCTCTCTCACACACACACACACTCTCTCTCTCTCTCTCTTTCATTTTACTGTGGTCTGGTAGCTGGTTGGCACATGCATTTGCTTATTAAAACTCTTGCTTGATGGATTTCTCCTGTTGGCTATTTGTCTGAAGCAACAAAAATTCACATGTTACTTGTATGAAATGATAACTATTTAAATCCGTCAGCCTCTTTTATTATGTGCAACCAACTGTTTGTTTACTTTTCTGCAGATGGATGCTCGTAGTCTTGCCATGGAAATGGCCCCTGTTATTATGTGGCAGAAGGGTCGCAAACCGGAATCCTATAGGCAATATTGGAGTCATCCATCTAGAAGTCCTTCAAAGAAGAATATGGAGACAGCATCTGATTACAGTGGTTGGGACATGCTTGCTGGTTAGTGATCCCTGTCTCATGTGCTATAAAACCTGTCTAAAGGAATATAGCTGGGGTTATAGTGTAAATATAACTGCAGACTTATTATTCATTTAGACAGGTCGTTAAATTAAGAGATTTTCTGTCATATCTTATTTGTCTTTTAGAAGTCACCCTATATGCAACAAAGTGCGTAAAACACTTCCATAAATTCTTTTTTTTTTTTTGAAATTGTAAAGACACATAACCTACAACATAATCAAATATTTCCCTGTTGCATCCGTTACATGACAGTGATGGACAAGATCTGCTTGAACCATGGTATGAGTATTACTTTTAACAGTCTTCCTGATCTTTAAGAATAACAAGTGATTAAGTTTACTTATATGAGGCAGTTATCACTTATCAGAGCTGGGTGTTAATTATACTTGCTTCATGAAACTTAAGATTGGTTTTACTTGTAGGCTTCTAAATTCAGTATTCCTTTTGCTTGCAAATTTTTATTGAGAATACTTCTTGTCATACACTTTTTTGAGCCTTGAGATCACTGAAGAGTTAGGTTATTCTGATTCAATAGAAACCCAACCTTTTATTTTCTCGCTTAAAGAATAATTATCTAGGTTTCTTTGCTTGCAATTGGATAGGACCATAATTCAAGAACATGAACCACTCTCTTCAATAGTGCTGATATTGATTTCCACCAAGGAAGTGGTAGAGACTTGCATAGATGGAAAGGATAATTAGGAATATGCATTGGAAATCTATTGAATTTTTTTCCCTTTTTTTCCGCATGAAACTTAAAAAAGAGGCATAAATTAGTTCTCATTTAATTATGAATGGTAGCTATAGTTTGAAGTAATTTTAATTGTTGATATATACAGTCATTGAATCCTTTATTAGCTTTTTCCTTTTTGGTAACTTATTTGATTTTATGGAACCTAGATGTTACTCATTTTCTCCTCTTTTTCGTATGGTTATGGCTACAGATGAGAGCGAAGTTATGGATGCATCCTCTCCCATTCCTTTGGATGATGGCATGCCAGTCGACTTCGGCGCTATTGAGGTTGTTCAGTGCCTCATAGAACAGCACAATGCGATCTTCACAGATGCAAATGAGACTGTTTGGAGGTGAGTTGGATTCAACCTGTTTCCAGATGCCCCACCGAATTCATCAAGCTGGGAAGTGTCCAGTGCTACCTGAGTGAATTCTGAGATTGTGAGTGTGTAAATCGTAGTCCATAGAACCTATATTCAAAATTATTTTGTCAATATTTGTTGGTTTTGGGATGGGAGCTGATGCTTGAAGCAATAAGATTTGTAATATTTTACCCTTCTGCTTTTGTGAAAAGTTGAGTGGTGGTTAGATTGTCGTTGAAGAAATAGCTCAATAATGCATCATAGACTTAGAGAGTTGGAAGTGTTTATATTTCCTGTCTATTTAAAAGTAATTAATTATATTTTTAAAAAAGCCTTTATTAAAGATTCTTATAATTAATTATTAATTATGATAATGGAGCTTCTTCCAGCCACTACTTTTTTGCATGAAATATTTGTTATGTTTTGTTTATGTATATATAATTGAAATCTTAACTTAATATTTTAAGTAATGTGATTGATGATTTGGTTTTTTAGTATAATTAATATAACCAACCTGGGATGCAACTCGGCAAAGTGGCTGGGTCTTAGATTGATTGGTTTAACCGGGTTGATTAGCAGAATAAACTGGTGTCCAAAAGTTTGAAATATAACAAAAACACCTTCAAAAGTTATTCAAGTTTTTATAGGTTTAAAATTTTGCAAAAACACTCTAAACACCATTGTTGGTGTCGACAAACCAGGGGAAATAGGTATGTTATCGATAATGACAATACTCCCCATTATCACGAAAACACTCTTTTCAACTTCTTGACCAAAGCCCATATCACCCCTCCCATAATTGCCTTGTAGGTTGTTGCTGTTGATTTAATTTTGTGATTTTTAATCGATTTATTCATCATAAATCACTTACGTTGCCACCATTGTATTTACCGACTTTTCCTCTTCAAAATCCTCAACATCCTAGTCTTTAATTATTTGTGGATCACTATCTTAATTTTTAGAGTTTTTAGTGAATAGGAAAATTACTAACTTGACTTGGTAAAGGCCCTAAGTCCCGGCTGACCGGTTTTTAGAAGATTGGTTATATAATAGTCAATATCAAATTGAATTGTAATTTTTCTAATTGTGCATGTGTAACACTACTGGTATATTTTAAATGAATTAGATAAGGTAAAATTTTCATTTAGTTTTTCAATCTAATTCATTTAAAAATGAAATTATGTATTTATGTTAGATGGAGTACTGAATTAAGATAAAAATGTGAACTAAAGCCTATGTAGATTCCTAAAATGAGCTGAACCAATTGGTCACAGGCTCACTTACCTGCAATTCCTAAAACACAATTAACGAAACCCGCCCCCTCAAAAAAATTCAGTTGGTCTCTAACATTCAACATAGTTACAGCAGATCCTGATTCTCTCAAGTTGGAAGAGGGAAGAGTTTCTTCTCAATGTCCACAATCAAACTCCTCTTTCTATTCACATTCTTCTCTTCCTTGGTAATAATTACGGTACTCATCAACAATAAATTAATCTCTTTGGTTGCCTTTATTTACTTAATTTTCATCATTTGTATATTTTTATCTCTTGGGTTTGGTCTGGTTCATCTAGATTTTAGGATATGAAGATGGGATTTCAGGGAAGTACCCAATCGTGGTGAGTACGTGGCCTTTTGTAGAAGCTGTGAGAGCTGCTTGGAGGGCTGTTGATGCTGGCTTTTCCGCTGTTGATGCTGTCGTTGAGGGTTGTTCTGCTTGTGAAGATTTGAGGTGCGATGGTACAGGTGGTAACACTATTCTTTTCCTTTGAGAGAAAGAATTATGACATACGGACATTTCTGACAAAAGTTTAATCCTCAAGGGAGCTCCATCAAATTTACTCCTAGTTATCATTATTCTTTCTTTGCTACCACTTCAAAGTTTGTAAAGTTGTTGTTTTGAGATACTGAATGCAAATGTAATATCATATGTAAATCGCCTTTGAGAAGAATTTAAGCATATGGATTATCTCAACTGGAAGATTTTATAATAAAGTAAAAACAATATTTTATTTTGTGAATGTGATTTGATTGATGTATAAATTTGCTGTGGACAGTGGGTCCTGGTGGAAGTCCAGATGAGAATGGAGAAACTACAATTGATGCTCTGATTATGAATGGGGTACAGCCTTTTATAGTTTGTTTCGTTTGTGTTATTGTTTTCTTTCTTTTTGCATGTTTATTCCTTTATTAAGAAAGATTGTTTATCATGTGTTTTGGTAAGGAATTAATAGGTGACAATGGAGATTGGAGCTGTAGCTGCCATGAGGTATGTGAAAGATGGCATTAGAGCTGCAAGATTAGTGATGGAACATACTAAGCACACTCTCCTTGTTGGGGAGAAGGCATCAGCCTTTGCCATTGCGATGGGTCTCCCAGGTCCCTCAAACCTTAGCTCGACAGAGTCTATTGAGACGTGGAATAAATGGAAAGAGAATGGTTGCCAACCTAATTTTTGGAAAAATGTTATACCTCTAAACGGTTGTGGTCCTTATCATCCGAAGGGTGCAAATGGCTTCAGTGAGGGGGGTTACTCCAAAGCCAATTTGATGGGAGTTATTGAATCAAGGTCATCTCATTTTGGTCTTCACAGCCATGACACCATTTCAATGGCTGTTATCGATAAAGTAAGTTCATTGGATATACCTCATGTGTACATACTATGTATGTACGTATTCCTATTTCACTCAGAAATTGCTTTGTTCATGTAGATGGGACATGTTGCTGTTGGCACATCAACTAATGGAGCTACTTTTAAGATCCCTGGCAGGTAAGGTTAATATAAGGCCTCTTACGTGTCACTGGTGAGTTTATGATTGCACCATATTGAGTGACAATAGTCTTAATTATTATCTTGAAAAATTCAAAATCTTCTTATCTTAAAGTCCGATGCCTCATTTACTGCTGATAGTTTGGAGCCGTATTTTTTGTTTGTCAAATTTTTCTATATAATCAGCATTAGAATTGGATTGGATCATTTTGAATCAACTTCTGTTTCTCCATGTAAAAATGTTGATGGAAACAGAGTCGTTTTGTCTAATGAAAAAGACAGGACGACTATTCCTCCATATCGGTAGTTATCCTCTATTTTTGGAGCAATACAGGTTTTGGCTATTTCTTGGAAAGCAATGAGTGGAATACATTTCCACCTCTAAAGAAAGCAAATGCATTTATTGAGATGAAACTTTGATTATTGTTTTCCATTCTCTAAGTCATACATTTTTCCTGTTAGGGTCATTTTAGCAATTTAAGTATTTTCTGGTTCTTGAGTAAACAAATCAGAAAGCCCATCTAAAAGTAACAATATGCTGTTCAAATCTCTTATATTTTAGAGATCATGATACATAGTTATTTTTCTTGACTACAGGGTGGGTGATGGACCCATTGCTGGATCTTCATCATATGCTGATGATGAGGTTGGTGCTTGTGGGGCAACTGGTGATGGTGACATCATGATGCGCTTCCTTCCCTGGTAATGTGTTATAATTTGTAACAACTTAGAAGTCTTTAATCAACTGTTTTTAGGAAGTTTTTTTTGGTCCCTTTTGATCAAGGACAGCTAGGTTGTGGAATTAACTTTTATTATGCCCCAAAGTGAAAGGCCTGCATATTTTGTGGTTGAACTTTTATTTGTATAATTAGTGATGGAATACTGAAGCTATAGCCAAATGACAGATTAAGCTGACATTATGTGGTTGTGAGGCTTGTTACGCTTAGCTAGCTTGGCTTGGGGCTCAATCTCTGCTCATTACATGCTAACTTTACATATCAAGTTTGGCATTCTGCTTGCTTGTACCTCAATCTTATCACTTTCTTTTGTAGTCCACGTAGAAATTAGAGGCATATGNAACTGGAAGATTTTATAATAAAGTAAAAACAATATTTTATTTTGTGAATGTGATTTGATTGATGTATAAATTTGCTGTGGACAGTGGGTCCTGGTGGAAGTCCAGATGAGAATGGAGAAACTACAATTGATGCTCTGATTATGAATGGGGTACAGCCTTTTATAGTTTGTTTCGTTTGTGTTATTGTTTTCTTTCTTTTTGCATGTTTATTCCTTTATTAAGAAAGATTGTTTATCATGTGTTTTGGTAAGGAATTAATAGGTGACAATGGAGATTGGAGCTGTAGCTGCCATGAGGTATGTGAAAGATGGCATTAGAGCTGCAAGATTAGTGATGGAACATACTAAGCACACTCTCCTTGTTGGGGAGAAGGCATCAGCCTTTGCCATTGCGATGGGTCTCCCAGGTCCCTCAAACCTTAGCTCGACAGAGTCTATTGAGATGTGGAATAAATGGAAAGAGAATGGTTGCCAACCTAATTTTTGGAAAAATGTTATACCTCTAAACGGTTGTGGTCCTTATCATCCGAAGGGTGCAAATGGCTTCAGTGAGGGGGGTTACTCCAAAGCCAATTTGATGGGAGTTATTGAATCAAGGTCATCTCATTTTGGTCTTCACAGCCATGACACCATTTCAATGGCTGTTATCGATAAAGTAAGTTCATTGGATATACCTCATGTGTACATACTATGTATGTACGTATTCCTATTTCACTCAGAAATTGCTTTGTTCATGTAGATGGGACATGTTGCTGTTGGCACATCAACTAATGGAGCTACTTTTAAGATCCCTGGCAGGTAAGGTTAATATAAGGCCTCTTACGTGTCACTGGTGAGTTTATGATTGCACCATATTGAGTGACAATAGTCTTAATTATTATCTTGAAAAATTCAAAATCTTCTTATCTTAAAGTCCGATGCCTCATTTACTGCTGATAGTTTGGAGCCGTATTTTTTGTTTGTCAAATTTTTCTATATAATCAGCATTAGAATTGGATTGGATCATTTTGAATCAACTTCTGTTTCTCCATGTAAAAATGTTGATGGAAACAGAGTCGTTTTGTCTAATGAAAAAGACAGGACGACTATTCCTCCATATCGGTAGTTATCCTCTATTTTTGGAGCAATACAGGTTTTGGCTATTTCTTGGAAAGCAATGAGTGGAATACATTTCCACCTCTAAAGAAAGCAAATGCATTTATTGAGATGAAACTTTGATTATTGTTTTCCATTCTCCGAGTCATACATTTTTCCTGTTAGGGTCATTTTAGCAATTTAAGTATTTTCTGGTTCTTGAGTAAACAAATCAGAAAGCCCATCTAAAAGTAACAATATGCTGTTCAAATCTCTTATATTTTAGAGATCATGATACATAGTTATTTTTCTTGACTACAGGGTGGGTGATGGACCCATTGCTGGATCTTCATCATATGCTGATGATGGGGTTGGTGCTTGTGGGGCAACTGGTGATGGTGACATCATGATGCGCTTCCTTCCCTGGTAATGTGTTATAATTTGTAACAACTTAGAAGTCTTTAATCAACTGTTTTTAGGAAGTTTTTTTTGGTCCCTTTTGATCAAGGACAGCTAGGTTGTGGAATTAACTTTTATTATGCCCCAAAGTGAAAGGCCTGCATATTTTGTGGTTGAACTTTTATTTGTATAATTAGTGATGGAATACTGAAGCTATAGCCAAATGACAGATTAAGCTGACATTATGTGGTTGTGAGGCTTGTTACGCTTAGCTAGCTTGGCTTGGGGCTCAATCTTTGCTCATTACAAGCTAACTTTACATATCAAGTTTGGCATTCTGCTTGCTTGTACCTCAATCTTATCACTTTCTTTTGTAGTCCACGTAGAAATTAGAGGCATATTTATGTGATGAAATCTCAAACAATCTGTATTGCCTGCAAGCCTGCCTCATCTATTTGCACAATTAATCCACTTTAAGGCTTTTATCTATCTTATAACAATTTCTGATCTGATTTTTCCTTTTATTTTCCCTCTTAACTCTCTAGCTGTTTATTAATTTTCAGTTATCAAGTAGTAGAGAGCATGAGATTAGGAATGGAACCAAAGCTCGCTGCCAAGGATGCAATATCTCGAATTGCAAGAAAATTTCCAGATTTTGTTGGGGCTGTTGTTGCTGTCAATAAGAATGGTGTGCATGCTGGTGCTTGCCATGGATGGAAATTTCAATACTCGGTGAGAACCTTGGAATTGGAAGACGTGGAGGTTTTCACTGTGTTACCGTGAATTGGCCCCAACTGTGTTTCACAATAAGCACTCTTTTGTTAATACTCCAAGTGTGATTATCTTTTCATGCTCATTGATGAAGAGCAGGCAATGAATTGTGTATGCTGTGCTCTAAACACACATGCCTATTGTTGAATATCGGAGTTTCATACCCTTTATTATCGGTATCTATTTGACAATAAAATGGAAGACATGGTGTTGTAACATAATATGGTTATGTTAATTTGTATGAAACTTTAGATTTAAGGTACAGTTCGGTATTGTTGTACCTTATAATAATTTACCACATAGTTATTGAAACTCATCAATTTATAAAAAGAAAAGAAAACAAAAAATTACATCATGTTTGCTCAAGTATTATGCTATTGGAAAATTATATATGTTTCATGCTTAAAGACTGAAATTGTCATTTTCATTCAACAAGTTTGTTTTTATATAATTATTAAAAGATATTCTAAATTCTAAATTAATCAATAAAAAAGTTAACAAAAAATTTTTAAAAACAAATTGGACGACACTACTGCTTTTCAACAACATCGTCAATATTGTTAGAATTATCTTTTGACAACCTACCAAATAGTACTGATTTATCGTTCTTTATAACGATATATCTAATAGTATTGGTGTATTGATGATTGAATATCGGAGTATGTTTCTATAAACATAGTAAATATAGGTAAAGAAGAGATCCTAATATCAATATAATGCTCCTAACTATAAAAACAGACAAAGATAGAGGTGAGAATTGAAATATGTGGGGGTGAAATAAGAGTAGTTTTGACTTTGTAAATTTCAGTGGTCAATATATAGAATATGCACATTTAGGATAATGGATGTGGTTATTTTAATTAACCCCAAATACCCAAAGTTGTTAGAAGGTGGTGATTGTTAATCTTTTGAGTTTGAGTGACTACTTTTGACTCTAATTTTATAATGCATTCCTTACCTCCATTTTACTCTTCAAGATTCATCTAATTAAAATTAAAACAATAAATAAATAAATAAAAGAATATGAGAATTTTCTGGGACCATGTAGCCGAACTAAAGGGTTGTTTGTCCGAAAATAACCAAGTTTAGTGTTCTAGCTACTGTATTTAAATTCATACCTCTATAATAGACGAGATATTTGTGCTTTGGTTGTATCATATTTTCTTCTCTTTTGCCGGGAAATTTTTTCTTTAAAGAGCTTAGAAGGGAAATTTCCTCATTTCAATAATTCAGAAGATTCTTATTTCTCCACAAATGAAATAAGTTTTCAGAACTTTATTTTTGACGAAGACCCAATTGAATTTCCAATTGGGTAAAGTTGAAATAGATCGCAACATCATTAATCTTGAATTCCACCTGATACTTCTTTCTTAAAAGTTTTTATTATTATGTGAAAATTTTATGTTTATTTAAATCAAATTTTTTTTTTTTTTTTTTGGGTCGATGGAGATTAACGGAGATAATAATATCGTAGAAAATGAATTAGCGGTTGAAGAAGGTGATTGTGAAGCACCCATTTTGAATTCAAGCGTTTTCTTAGATCATGTTGGAGAAGTTCTTCTCACTCATAATTCAGATGGCTTGTCCTGGAAACCCCTCACTTCCTTTGATAATGTAATTTTTCTTTTTCTTTTAAATAAATATCTCATATTTTTGTATTCAATTAATTATTGTTTTTTTGTTTTTTTTCATGTTCTATGGTTATATGAGTTGGGAAATCTTTGAATTTTGTTGGGTATCATTTGGATGCAATTTTTGTTGAATGATTTTATGTGTTTTGATGCAATTTAGAGACTTGAACTTGATGACCAATGTTGGAAATCTGGAAAGCATATTTTGAGTTTTGACCTTGCTTCTTTTCCAAAGTTTCTGAACAAGCTTTATCTCAGGTTTTGAATTGTTGAAATACATTTGTTCGTGGAAATTAGGTTTTGTATGGTGGTCTCTAGTTTATTTAAATCCCATTTGTCCATTTTGAATTTGATTCATTTTCATTATACTAAATTATGTATATTAGCCTATCAGCTATTAAATATTTATTTTATGTTCTTTAACGGTCTACCTGAGTAGGCCGCACCATTTTTCTTTTTCTTTTGCCTCTAAGAAGCAAATGTTTATCTTAGTTTGGTGTAAATTCCATGGATATTAAGATAAATTCTCTTACTATTTAGTACTGATGTTGGTGAGTAGTTTCACTTTCAATATGTGATGGCTCACTTGTATTTACTTGAACAGGATGGATCATCGTGTTTGAGAATTAAATTTAGTGCTAAACTTCCAAATGAAATCAAATTTTCTGATGTCTATGCTGTTGAGTTAACCAACTACGGTTCAATTCATAAAGTGAATCGTACGAATGCAGGAAATAAGTTCTTGGGACGTGAGTCTCTTGATTCTGAGGTTCGATCTCATTCTAATTCTAATTTATGTGTTTTTATTCTCATATGGTTATTGTACTTACGGATGGTATATTTTATATTCTGGTTCAGATGTTCCGCTTTACGGTGCATGGTTTCCAAAAGTCAAAAACACAGCCAAATCTTTGGGTCTTGGCTGTGTACACCTTCGGTCACAAGGATCTGCCAACATGTGAGATGTGGGTGAATCGACTTAATGCTTCTTTAAATTTAGAAGTGGGAAGACCAAAGAATCTTCTGGTATGTACTGTTCTTGATTGAAGACCATTCGTTTTGCTTGTATATATTCATTTTTACTTGATGAAATGAATTGAAATCAGTAGTAAAGTTGTCTCCAGAATTTTTTCTGATTGATAGGTTTTTGTTAATCCATTGAGTGGGAAGACTAATGGCCGTAGAACCTGGGAAATTGTGGCTCCTATATTTGCATGTGCTAAAATTAAGACAAAGGTAATTTCAAAGCATACCTAATGATTCCATGGATGTTTCTCAAGTCATAGCATTACAATATTCTGTTAGTGTGTATAGAAATTTACATTTATCTATTACTACCTAGTTATGATGTAATGCATTTTGGCATCTGGATTTTGTCTAAGTCTCATTTTTGTGAGCTTAAGGTTCTATCTGTCTGGGGAAGTGTTCAAATTGGAATGTATGGTTCTCAATTTGAAATTTTGAAATCATTTCAACCACTTTGATTATCTCTCCGAATATTCATTACGGGCGAAAGAGTTTACAATTTGATTGTTGATTAACCTCTGAGAGCTTAGACAGCAGATTGTGCAATGAAACCTCAAATATGTTTGGCCAATTAGATTTACCAACAATCCTAAATGAACATTTGGAATTTTCATAGGAAAATTTTTGGCAATGCTGTTATTGTATTACTGCCTTTTTTATTTGATTATAACTTTTGGCAATGCTGTTATTGTATTACTGCCTTTTTTATTTGATTATAACTTTTAATGGTACTGTTCAACTGCACTATGAATGGGCATGGGCTAAACTTGGTATGACTAATGAAAGAGCTTGCCAGACAAAGATTAATGTGATATGTAGCCTCAGTGCTTGGATGACATAGTATATTTTCTGTCAAAATCTGTTTAATTTCTCATGGGGATGAAGATTACTCTAGTCATGAGTACAAGGTTCAGTACCAAATGAATGTAATTGGGAAAATTGTGCTGTGTCTTACATTAATTATTTACCTTCTTTGTCAGGTGGTTGTTACAGAGAAGGCAGGACATGCATTTGATGTGATGGCATCTACTACAAACAAGGAGCTTAACTCATATGATGGTGTTATAGCTGTTGTAAGTCATGAAAGCCCTTCACAAACATATCTTGCATACTTAGTGTCCCAGTAGTGGCATGGAATAAACTGTGGGCACCTATTTTTGGTGAGAAATAGGGAAAACAAAAAGAAAATAAAGAAGGAAATAATGTGACACATTGCCACAGTATGTGATGGAAATTCATGTATGAAGAATAGAGGAGGTAACAATTACATAATCTTATTTTATTGGCTTATCTATGATGCTAACTGAGGCCCGTTTATTTTCAAGCTCATTTAGTTTGAAAGAGTGCTCACTTTTACTGATAATTGGTCCAATAATATTATGCTGTCAAGAACACCAAAAGAGGTTAGAGAATTGGATCAATGTTGGCAAACAACATGTTTATGTTCGGTGGTGGTATTGGTTTTGGTAGGTAGAGTTTGGTGGTGCACCAGCTAAGCACCCAAAATAAGTATTGCAAGAAGAAAAAAAGTTAGTGACCTTTCTTTTTAGCGTTGATTGTTAGTAGGCAACTTCATAATCAAATTGTTAACAACTCCAACTGCTATATTTGTTTTCAACTTCCACTGATCAAGAGAGGTGTAAAATGTATCACAACTTTTTTGAAGAAAAACTATTACCTCATCATAATGCCATTTTGAAGAAAAAATGTTTATTGCTGGGTATTACCACTCCAACAAATTAATATTTGATGTTGTGACATGATACTAGATTTAGGTAGTTGCTAATACCTTATCTTAAGGGGTATTGTTGTTCGTATGAAGTTTTTCCCATATGAACCATTTGGTTGTGCACTATCCCCCGGCGGACTATAAAGTTTTAATACTATAAAGCTCAAGTGAACATCTTGTGTGGAATTTTGAAGTCATGGTCTGGGTTTCATTTAACCTACCTCCCCTACATCATGTTTTCTATTCTCAGAAAGTTTAATCTGTATCATTTGTAGTTCAAGCTTTTTCTAAGTTATAATGTGGCTGTGACCTGTTTCTGGCATTGGTTTTTGGTTGTTCTCTGGTGATGGTTTCCTCCTGTCAATGGGTTTATGTACATGTGTTGATTTTTTATGTTTGATCTATGTCTCTAATTTACTAAGTTCCAAGCATTTTTCTCAGTTTTATTTTCTAATTATTGTTTGTTTGCTTGTTGATTTGGTTTCAGGGTGGAGATGGTTTGTTCAATGAAATCCTTAATGGCTATCTTTCTTCAAGATATAAAGCTCCTTATCCACCAGCCCCATCAGATTTTGTTCATTCTGTTTGGAGCAATGAATGTTCTTTAGTTCACAATCCTGATGAAA